CAGTCCTTTGCATCTCAGTCAGGAAACTGTCCTCTGGCAGAAAGCTAATGTAGTCATGAGTATCACCGTGGGATTTTTCCATATTTCAGGTTTCACAGCCTGGGATAATTAGCTCATAGCTGTTTGGGGGAGGAGGACTTGTCTGATATCAGTTACAGTGTCATGTCTATAAGCAGAAGTTTTGAATCTTCTATTTTTAAATAACAAAAGTATAAATATCCCATAAAAATCTAATTCATAAAAATGAATTTTATTTACTCATAGTAACTGAATTCCAAGGTTCATTTGATTTCCGGTATGGTTTGATTGAGAAGTTTTCAATGTCACCAGATCTTGTTATACATTTATTTGCTATTTTCTATGCTCTGCTTTCTTCTATAAGATAGTTTTAACTTCATGTTGTTCTCTTTTCTTCTAGATAATGCCTATTAGAGCTTAGACTTAATACTATGTAGGCAAGAGAAAAAGATGCTTTTTATTCACTCAGATGAAGAAGAGAGACAGCTTTCATTCCAGAAGTTACCAGTAAATATCTTCTTGTTTCTGGCCTTCGGTTAATGCATACATAAACCCAATCACAATTATTTGACTAAAGAGTTGAGATAGAGTAATTGCTTTAAGAAATTGCATCCCTGTTTCTGGAAGCAATTGTTGAGATCGCTTTTAAAATGTAGGGCGGAGAAAGGATATAAGGCAGTTTCCTCCAAAGTCTAGGTGTTTTGGGGAGGAGGACAGGAATTAGTATCAAGCACATAATAAGAAATTATCAACAGTAGATTTTCTTTAAATGGCTATAAGTACTACATGCATATGCACAAATGGCAATATGCTTATAAAAATTTAAATTTGAGGAAAATTACATATGTATGCTCTTATTTCCCAATGGAAAGGGTTATTGAACTTTCTAACTTTGATATTAATATGGTAAAACTTACTTTTAATAGCAGTTACAACCAGATGTTATGTTAAGCTATTCCTGTGCAATTTGAGGTCTAAATTTGGTTCTTCTACCAATATTAGTCATTCAATTACAAGTCTCTCAGTATAACTCCCAAGTTAATAATGTTGAAATGAGCAGGTGTTGCATCAAAGAACCTGATGGCCAAAGATAATCTTGGTGCTACAGCTTTATACTTTTATGGGCGTGAGTAGAAGCAGGTGCAAATTATTGACTTTCTGCCCCTTTACCTTTATGGTAAATTAGACTGTAGAAATGATGATGGTGGTGTGGTGGTCTGTGTGATACCTCTAGAGTTTTCAAGCTTCTAGGTTAATGCTGCTGAGCAAGGCATATGTTCTTCATATATACTAACACAGATATTGAATTTAGATAAAATATTTAACCGTATCATTATCCTGTTACCAACTACTAAGTATGCCCTACTGAGTATTTGAGAACATCTTTTATGTGTTTATTATCCTCACTGGATTAATAAACTTAAAATGTAAAATACTCTAATCTTCTATGTAATTTCCAAATATTTTTAATCATAAAGCTTTACAATAAATTTTGAACATATGTCATCCAATGTATATATATTTATTAATTATAAATTATATATAATCCAATCTTTACTGGTTTGGAGGACCAGCTGTGGATCTAAACTGCCTAGGCTTGAATTTCAGGCCTGTTATTTCCCAGCTGTCACCTTGAGTGTGACATTTAATAACTCTATGTCTCACTTTTCTCATTTTAAATGGATGGAAACAAGACTAGGTACCAGATACAGTTGTACATATTCAAGTTCAGGTTATCATTATTATCTCATTGCTATTTTACTGCCATATTCACTGTCTTATAAACAAAATAGAAGAAAAGCATTAATGATATTTAGAAAATGTAAGTATGTTTTCTAACATGTTATAATAGAACAACCATGGTTTATTTTTAAATAAAGATGAAGAATAAAACATATTTTATAATACCATCTCCTTACCTATTTTACAATGTTGAAACTCAAAACTAAAATGTAGAGTGTCTCATATTTTCTTCCCACACTACACTGGAACATCTCATACTATGTTTTTGCATCATGTGCTGGAACACAGCCTCATGTTCTTATGGGTTCCATAATGTGGAGTGAGAACCATATTATTTATTATAAAGTAGTAAGGCTATGGTAGTAAACCTTAACAATTTCTGCCCTTGTTTTGCTGATGCCCCCTAAAATTTTATTTATGTAATGACAGTTGTTCATTCCAGGATCCTAAGAAACTCAGCCATTGTAGTTTCCTCCTGACCGGCCCCTAGTAAATGAGTCATAGTATTCTTCCGAGTTTGTTTATTATATGGAGCTTTTCAGTGGCCAAAACACTGAGAGGGAAGGCTCTCCTCTGCATTTCCTATTTAGAGTCTGTATACATAGTTTCCTATTCTGGCCCTGGGTGGGACAATTTGCTGTCTAGTCTTTCCAGGAAGAAGGCCATGCCAGGGAAGAGTCTGGCTAGATATAATTATGCTAATACCCTATTGTGCTTTTTTCTCTTATGTTTTATCAGGAGATGAGATAACTGAGACTTTAGTAAGAATTCAATAGACTGTGTTGGTCCTTATATCTTCTAAATTTAGCCTAGTGTAGTGAGAAATTTAATTTTTAATGTAATTTACTCATTATAAATAAGGCATGTAAGACTTAATGGCAACACAAAAAAAGTTCTAGTCTCTTATACCTTGGTGTCTAAGTTGTTTAGTACTCACAGCACTTATATTTCAATCAATCTTCTAGAGCAGTTAAGAAAGAGTAGAATTATTGTACATGACTTGGGAGGAAAATAAATCTTGTGACCTGCTCATACTGCATTGTGTTTCTTGGTAGAAAAACATGTGCACACAAAGACACACATTAGTGGATCTTAGGAGTTATACTTGATTTAAAATGAACCATGACTTTGTATTATATATTCTTGGCTCCTAAGAAATGGTATTCTGAGTTGAATTATGAAATCTGTTTGTTATAATTTTATATTAGAACCTATGCTTGGAACAACCCTGCACCATCTGTGTCTCTGGTATGTTTACTATCTTTGATAATGAGAATGCGGGAGCCAACATTTCTTTTTATACCTGGCTGCCAGAAGTCTTGGAACACATTTACAGCTCAACCAGGACAAATGGACAGAACTGTATAGCCTTCTTCTCTTATCACCACCTTCATCTAATTTCACATCTTATTCCCAAGACATGTGTTTTCCATAGACCTCATGTGTTTTATTTATTTTAAATATTTTAATACTTTTAGTGGTAAGGTTGCTTCAAATCCTTCTTGGCAGAGGTAAGGAATAAATATTTCTGTGTTCTGTAAACCTTAGGGAAATTAACCTGAAATATTAATAAGAAGATATCTGGGTATTATTACTTAGAGGGGAGAGCATAAGATTAAAATAAATTGTGTCAATAAGTTTTCAGAAATATTAAGTCACAAAGTTAATGCTTGAATGATGAATTAGAATTGCAGATTTAGCCACTTGCCAAAATTTTGTCAAATGAATCATTGAAATTTCAGATAAAATTTAACTGGGTAACATTAAGTCTTATTTACTTCACAGACATACTTTCATGTTTCTTAAAGAAAAAAAGACAGTTTTTGCATTAAATACAGCACTGATGTCATCCTTTGAAAAAGAGAGCAATTTTAGATGGATTCTTGAGAAAAAAAGCCAGGTACAGCCCCAGAAGCAATAGACTGAGTATTAGATCCAAACCAGGCCAGTGTTTTGTGGTCTATGAAAACTTGGAGCTCTGTAGCTTCATATTTTTTTAAAAAGTAAATTAAGAATTATGATATAGACTATAGCTGCTAAACAACTGATAAAGCTCAGAAGATAAAGTGTATATGTATGAAAATTAAATTTGTTTTTTGGGGTTACTTTGATGAGGAAAAAGACACGGCTTCTCAGGCCACACTGAGGAACACTTCTAGTTCTCTGATTTTCACTTCACATGATTTCTATCCAAAATACATTTTCAACCAGTTAGACAGATGATGCTACCTACTCTCAGAAAAATTAATCCCTGAGTAGATATTTATTCAATGATTGAATGTAAATGAAAGCTACTCTATCCCTGTCTGGTGAAGTAACCCTATCCTTTACTTCACCAGAGTTAAATTGAGAAAACAAGTAAGTGACTAATAAAATTCGCTCTCTGGTAAAGTCCCCATCATCTTTTATAGATCTCCTGATGGTTTAACACCCACAGAGCTCTTCTTATTTTAAATGACTTTGTAACTGCATATGAATTTATCCAGTAGCTGATCCTTTTAAAACTAGGACCAGATTATTATAATTTGGGTTGAAATATACAACTCCTATGACTGTTTTTCCTTATTCTTTTTTAAAAATTGTTATTGTATTTTTCCATTACCATGTAGTCTCCTTACACCCCTCGCCCTCTTCAATCACTACACACTGTTGTCCTTGCCTATGAGTCCTTTTTCCTTTTTGCTCAATCCCTCCTCTCCCAGACCCCTAATAGCTGCCATCATGCCCTCTGTCTAAGTGTGTCTCTATTTTGCTTGTTAGTTCAGTTTGTTCATTAGATTCCACATATAAGTGAAATAATATGGCTTATTTCACTCAGCATAATGTTCTCCAGGTCCATACTGCCATGTGGAAGATATTTTTTCTTTTTTATGGCTATGTAGTATTCCACTGTGTAAATGTCCCATAGTTGTTCAATCCACTCATCTACTGATGGACACTTGGGCTTCTTCCATATCTTAGAGATTGTAAATAATGATACAATGAACATAGAGGTGCTTATGTTCTTTTGAATCAGTGTGTTGAGTTACTTCAGATATAGTCCCAGGAAGAGACTGCTGGATCAAAAGGCAGATCCATTTTTAATTTTTTGAGGTATCTCCATACTGTTCTCCACAGTAACTACACTGATCAGTATTCCCACCAACAGTGTAAAAGGGTTCCCCTTTCTCCACATCCTTGCCAGCACTTGTTGTTTCTTGATTTATTGATCATTTCATCTAATTTTTTTCATTTTACAGGCCCAACAGCTTACTGATTTGGAACAAAAATTAGCTGTGGCAAGAAATACACTGGAGAGAGCAGCTCTTGACCGGGTAAGATTATATCCATGAACCATCACAACTTTGGTTTTAGCAGATGAAGCTAGGTTATGTTCATTGCTTCCCTTGATTTATTAATGCAATTTCAACTGCTGTTCATGTATGAAGGTTACAGAATTTATGAGTGCTGGATATTCACTTTGGAACTCAATTTTTCCCTTATTTTTGCTGCTAAATTGACTCAAGTTTCAGGCCCCGTGAGTTCATGGCTTTATTTTTCACCTTACTGGTATATTTGCTCTATAACACCATAAATAAACATGCTTTAAAGCACCAAGAAAGATGACAGGTATTAACTCTGGATGAATGAGTTACAAAGCAAATGGAAGTAGTCATTGATACTTTTCATTGTCAAAATCTTAAATCAGAGTTCGGGAGGTAGAGGCATAAAAGAAGTTAGCTCTCTTAACCATGAAGTCAGTTCGTGTGAAGATAATGCAAGGGTGGCTGACAGTCCCTCTTTATAACAGCTTTATGGAAAGTCACAGAGCATAAAAGTCGCCTTTTGAAGTTCACAAAGTTCTGCTACCATCACCACTATTTACAAAAGATTTTCTTTGGCCTTCTTTTTTAACCTCTTGTCTTCCATTTTGGTTATATCAATTTCTAATTGTCTTACAATTGCAGATACTCAGGGTAAATCAGAACTCCTATCTGAAGCCTTCCTTTGCCTTTCAGTGCTCTTCATATGAGTCATACATGGAGAATAGGGAATTGCTATATGGGAAGGCAAATGTAATAAGGAATTGGTCATATGTTGTAATTCAGAATTACTTTTCTGCTGTTTAATAGTTACAGGACTTCATTAAATGTTTCAATACCTGTCACATTCTGTCTTTTTTTTTCTCATTTTTACACAGCTTATACAGGATTAGGGATATAAATATTTCTCTTTTTTATTTACTTTTAACAAAAGGCTAGAATGATTTTAAAATAACATATTTCTTTTTGTACTTAGCACCCATTCATCAAATATTCAATATAATTTTCTCTAACACTTAAGACATATATCTAATACATATTAATACAGAAAACTCTGAATCTTTGCAAGGAACTATAGCATTTTATTTTTTAATATGAATTATTTTTAAGTTATAGTTTACATTCAATGTTACTAGTTTCAGATGTACAGCATAGTGGTTAGGCAATTATATGTTTTACAAAGTGTTCCCATCCCCTTTACCGTGATATTTTGAGAACCCACCTGACACCATACATAGTAAATCATGTATTTTAGACTTGAGAGATTTAATACCCACATTGCTCTCAATCAAAAGCATGAAGAGTCTACACCTAAATGACAGGGCCGATCCACATGTAACCTGGCTTCACTAAACTTTTAACTGATCTTCTGACAGAGATAAATTCTTGATTAGATTAGAGCTATTCAGCCATGCTTCTAACAGTGGAAAGATAAATTGTCTTTGGATAATCTGGAAATCATCTGGAAAATTTTCAGTTCATTTATATACAAAGTCTGACATGTAATAAAAATATTGCTCAACATGCGGAAAGAGAATGCAGTCTGATCAATATATAGAAGTGGAACAAGAGAAACATACCTGGAGATGATTCAGATATTAGAGTGTAAGGGGAAAAACATATGTGTGTGTGTGTATGTGTATATATGTATATATGTGCATATATGTATCTATATACATGTACACACAAATATATATATAAGAAGAAAAATAACAAAACAAATAAAAGGATAAAAATTTTCACTAGATTTGGATTCTATATACAGTTAAGTAGATATTCTAGAATTAGAACACTATAATGAATGTAATTAAGTATTTATTTAACTGGTGTATTTAATAACAGATTGGATTATTGGACATAATAGAACTAAAGACTAGTGAAATGAAAGTTAATATCAAATACCTATACCAATGTATAGAATGTAAAAACAAATGAATAGGAAGAAAATAAGAAATGTATGAAATGTTCAAATTTTAAAAAATATTTTTAGTTGTTGCCTAGAAAGAGTGACAAACAGAAGAAATATCTGGAGAGGTAATGGCTTTCTACCAAAGTTTTGAAAGACATCAACCACAGATTCAGAAATATAAGTAATCCACAAGCAGGTTAAAAACAAAGATAGCCATGTTATAGTCAGATTGTTGGGTGTTAGGTAATAAAGATGAAGTAAAACAAAAAGAATAATAAAAAGGGAGATATCAACTTAAATAAGTCAATAATTATATTTTTAAATATTTAGGATATTCTAAGTATAAGGTTAAAATTGAACACTGCATTAAACAAAAATTCCATCATTTATACAGTAGGCACCTTTAAATAAAGAATAAGAGTCTAAGTAAAATAATAGGGAACATATAAACTGTGCAAACAGTAATAGAAACACAGTTTATGCATCATTCAAAATACACTTGAAGAATTTTTAGTGGTAAGAAAGGAGTTTTGTATTGATTAGCCCAAGAGAATGTTATAAAAATTCTAAATCAGTATGCATACAACATTTCTTTAAACGGTTCATACATTTTTTAAAGTACACTTAAGACCCATGAACTTAATTATATGCTATATTTTAATATAATTTATTAACAAAATAAACAATACTTAACTTCACCTGAAAAATGGGAATATGAATAAAAACAATGAGGCATCATCTCAGTACCATCAGATTGGTAAAAATCAAAAAGTCAGATGAGATCGAAATCTGATACACTAGTGATAGGAGTGTATTTATTAAAATCAATTATTAAATGTATGTATCTTAGAATTTGCATTTATCCATATGCATTTGGAAGGATGCATAGAGATGTTTAATACAGCAATATTAATATTAATAATAAATGAAAATAATGTAAATGCTTACTGATGGAATTAATATATACAATTCATAAATTTCCTATACTATTTTCAAATAGTAATCAAACTTTAATATTAATGAATAAATGCAGTTATTTGTATCAATGTTGATACAGTTATAACATACTGTTTAGTGAAAAATATCAGAGGTATGTGTGTGGTATTTAACAATTGCTCAGATACACAAAACACATTTTGTTTTGACTATATGTCAGATAGAGGAGAAAGATACATATCAAATTCATGGGCACAATTGCCTGGGGGAAAAGCAGAGTTAAATGATACTAGAGATGCTTGCAAGTATTTCTACTGGTTTCCAAATGTTTTATCTTCTGATAATTGTATAGACATAGATAGTCTTTAATTCATACACAGACCTCTCTGTATATTTTATGTGTCATATGTGATATATAATATATGCATTGTTCATATACATTAGATAATATAATGTATGTATATGTGTATATTAGATAGGTACATGCATATATTTTCATATGCACTTTACTTTATACAATTATATAAATATTAATTATATGTAACATATATAATCAACATTATTTTTTAAACATTCAATTCAGATTGGTACTTACCTGACATCTGTTATATTTTTATGTTGTTTTCTATATACCTCTATATTTTCCAAAGTAAGTTATTTTTTGAAAAGTGGAAAATGTTCTTTCTGCTGTCAAGAGCTTTCCATTTTTCTGATCACAGCACAGCAAAAATTTTATTTAGAAAAATAAGCAAATAAGGTGATTGTATTCATAGATTTGTTTTGCAATAATATACTGTATATGTTTAGCAGTTTTGTAAAGAGAGGAGACTGCTGCCTAACCACCAATTTGAACATGAGTGTTTTGATACAGAAGAGATGGGACACTTGAGGCTAATTCATTTTAAAGCTCTAGTGGTATTACTTTCTCATTTCCCAGGGACTTGGGTCTCACAATGACATTTTTTTTTTCATTACCTACAACCAACACCTCCCCATAGGTAACATGGCTAACTTTTCACACCACATATGTAGAAAGTGTTGTAGCACTGGAATTAGTAAGGGCATTTGTTAGATCCAAAAGGTTTTTCTTCTTAAGGTTTAGTTCTTTGGGACAAATGTGGCTTTTGAATGAAAAACTATATATTTTAACAACTTCACTCCTTTGTGGTTTTCATATTTTAAATTAGTTTATCCAAGTAATTCATATGATATTTAATAGTTTTAGGGAAACCTACCTTCTATTTTATAGACTAGGTCAAATATAATTTATTTTACTAAGGTTACAGATTTGTAAGATATTTTGTAATTCATGAAAAAATACGATTATATCAATTCATGCTAATCTCTCACCATATCCAACTCATGCTACATAATATTGCTTTTTTAAAAGGGAAATGATTCTTTTTTCTGTTGGTGAATTCAGAAAATCAGAGAAACAAATAATCCTGAAGTTCAACTAGACAATCGTTTTTGAAAAAAAAAAATTCTTTCTCTGGCATGATCTCTGCAATGTGTCTTAAGTCTGAAAAACGTGTTTACTTCCCATGGCCCTGAGAAAGCTCAGCCTCCTCTGAGTTTTTAACAACTCTGACTGTTAGCATGATTTTTATTACATTAAATATTTTCCCTGATTTGACTTCAGGTAATCAATTTAGTCAGTCTATACCAGATAGATCAGAAATGCCTTTTGTGTGACCACCCTATGTTAGGTGCTGTGGGAAACAGAAAACATTTATGATACTCTGTCTTGAGTTCCACATCTCTCACCATTTTGTTGGGTATCAACAATTAAGAAATAATTGTATGCAGAATGATGAGGTCATAAAAGCACCAAAAATAAATATGTATATTTTAAGTACATGTGGGTTAGATAGCCTGGCGTGGTCACATAATACTTCATAAGAAAATTATGAATTAATTTTCTGAGTTACAGAGCTTGGATTTAATGTAGAGTTTGTTCCTCCTTCCTCTTCCTCATTCCATGTTGTCCTCCCCCCCATTTCCACCAGCCCCCACGGCCACCCCTCTCTGCCTCCCCCGCCCCATGCCATAGTCTGCATTCAGGATGAGATGTGTTGCGGGGCTTAAGTACAAGTCTCCAGGGTCTGCCTGTGTTCACATCATAGTTTTTCCATTAAATGACCATGTGTGAATCTCTCAAACTCTTTATGCTTCACTGAAACATCAAATAATAATAAAACTCACTTTATAAGGGTGATGAGAAAATTATATGTCTCAAAAAAGCAACATACAGAGAAGAATTTATGGCACCTGGAAAATACTCAGTAAGCATGGAAATTGTTCTTATGAGCGAAGAGACCACAGACCCCGCCTCTCTGTGATACAAATTTCTCTTTTAACCTTCAGCCGCTTGGCACCCCTTTTGCTACAGTGAACTGTAAAAGCATTTCCTATTATTACTGGAGGTTAATTTCAACAAATTTTATGTAAGATAAGTGTGAGGCTCATAAACTGCAGTTATAAAGTCAGAAAGAAATGCTAGTTCACTCCAAAATGAATAAAAACTTCAGTTTCAAGAAATTGCTCTTCACCTCTCTCCATCATCTTGATGCCTTTGTGTGAGACTGTTCCTCTCTTAAGGTGTCTAGCTCCTAAGAATGTTTTGCCTGACTTTGAATAACCTTCAATACCTCATAAAGATTATGAAAACAAATTTCACACTCCAACTTAGCTCTCATAACATATTTAATGCAAGAAGTCTCAGTTTACTATTCCCATATACGCAATAATAACTTTAAAATCTAAGAACCAACCTTGGTTTTTCAAACAATCAATTATTTATTTGGCAATATCTTAGGAATCATAGCCTCAGATACTGGAATGTAAAAACAACTTTATGGTTTAGAAATTTATCTCTCAGATTTTCATATTAACAGAAAAGTTTCTATGACATGTAATCATCACAAAATTTCTCCCCAGAAAGCATGCAAAATTCCATCCATATTCCAGATGACTCATGTCAGGTGACCAACATAGACACCTGGGACTAACTAGTAAGAGAACAAGTACTTATTTTGCCACAGTGTGTCCAGCAGGACACATAACAGGAGCATGATAGTTATTGATTAAATAAACATATGGATATATAACATCATAAATTAATAAACACCATACTTATCCTTTCAGGAATCATAGAGCAGATTTCATGGCAGAAAGTGAAAGGGAAAGCCTTCGGCTTCCACAGCCGTGCATGGTATTTCCGAAGCCAGCAACTGACATTGCACCCAGATCTTTCTGATGACTTTACTCTTTCATGCAAATGAATTAAGGTAGACATAGATAATATCATGTGGATTTTTATTTGTCAGGTGTTGAGACAGTAGCCTTTGCAAGTATATTTAACAGTTTCTAGCAAAAAAAATGCATTTTCTGGGAAAAGTACTCACATATAGACAGGAAATACTGCCTTTAAAATTTTCCATCTTAGGATCACATATATATACACAATAATTTCTTGTAAGCTTTACATATTATACAGCACAAACACTAGTATCTTAATGTCTGAAATGTTAGTTATATTGATGATATACAGGATCGACTGTAAATTATTTCATTATTTTCTCATGTAAAATGGCACTTGCTTATATCCTCTGGGTGGTTTGTTTTATATATTCATATAACAAACACTTGTTTAGTTAGAAACTGGTGATGCTGCAAAAATGGTACCGGTCCTCAGAGAAATTACCTTAGAATAGAAGTAGAAAAACAATAAACATATAAACAATGAGATCATTTGTAATGCTAATCAGGGCTACAAAAGACATCATTTAAGAACTGTGATAGAGATTTTAAAGAAGGAGTCTTCTTGAAAGGGTGATGGGGGACTTTGTTTCCAAGAAGGTAGTGTGTAAGCTGAGACACGAATTTTAATTGGAAGCTTCCTACATAGTTATTTGGAAAAAAAGGTTCTGCAAGCAGAGGAAGCAGCAAGTATAAAGGCTCTAAGATGCAAATGAACTTGGAGTGTTTGATGAGCTATAAATAAAGGACATTATGACAAGTAGGTCCATGTTAAGGAGTTTGCAATTGGCGTGAGGAGAAGGCAGGGCAAAACAAGACTGAGCTTAGGAAGGAGCAGGTTATAAGATCCAGGACAAAGTATACACTATATGGTTTATATCATATTTTTGGTTGACATTTTGTTTCAGTGAACTTTAAAGTGAATAGTGACTCACAGTTTCAAAACAGATCACAGCTAACAATGTGAATGAAAATGTAATCATGTTGTGTAAAATCCTCGCCTGAGTCCTGCTTATGGAACTGGGTAATACCAAACCTGAGGAGTGTTGGTGGTAACAGGCTCTATTAACTAGACTAAATGGAAAACTCTCTCTCTCTCTCTCTCTACACACACACACACACACACACACACACACACACACACACACACACACGTATTTTACAGAAAGGTGGCCAGATTAGGGCAGGATTGCTCACAGCGATCTGCTGTCTCCAGGAGAGAAAAATCTATAATGTAATCAAGGACTGGAACCTGGAACGTGGAACCTGAATCTAAGATCTAAGGTAAAGGCCAAAGGCATTGGCTTACGTTTCAAAAATGAAAGAAAAAATATGAAGCTAAGAGATTAAGAATAGGTTGAAACGTAAGAGAAAGACCGCGTCCTACTGTGGCTGTGAAAGCTGGAGAGCTGGAGGCTCCGCCTACGGAACGTTGCTGCCGCTGAGATCCAGGCGGCGACCGGGGGGCTGTGGAAGCAAATGAGATGATCGTGTCATAGTGAAGGCAGTTAGAAGTGTAACATATATACGCAGCCCCATTGATTATTGCTTTATTGGAAAATCTGTCTTCCTTAGACAATGCTTATTGAAAATTGATGTTTGAAAACGACTAAGTGGATGTTGTTTGTTATTTATTTTCAGCATCCAATTTCAGCATTACTCTGGCATTTGTCTGTTGTGGAAACATATAACTTAAGTTTGTTACATATCCAACTTTGAGACATGGAGAATGTTAAGAGGAACCGAGATATGAACATAGTAAATACAGTAATCATCATTACTTCCTGCATGATCTAAGCAACAAAAGCCGACATTTTAAAGCCATATTAGCTTTAAGTCCCTGCCAAAGCTTGTCTGATGCTGTCATATTAGCTCTATATCCACTGTCTCATTATAATATACAGCACAGAGCACATACTGAAATTGCTCAGTGTCACCGGGCATCTCTCACTTCTGACATAACACCCAATACCATGGCTGAGCTCTTCTTCAGCTTCGTCCCCTCCTGTCCACTTAACAATGCCTCTCCCTTCTAGTCATTGTCAGACTCTCATTTTCTCTTAGACAACTTCATAGGGCAAGATTAATGAGAAGAAAATGCATGTTGGTTCTGTCTTCTCTTTTTCCAGTTGTTGCTCTTTACTGCTGCTTTTTAAAAAAATCTCTTGTCATGACCATAGGGAGACATTTCTTAAACTATCATTCTAGCAATTGACACTCACTCGCAACTGAAAGTTAAATATTATTATATACCACATATGAGTAGAAAGACGAGAGGTAGACACTGGGAAGAATTTAAGTCATAGTCATTACTCTCAAGAGACTGGCAATCTCTTGAGATTGACATGAGTCATCTGGAATATGGATGGAATTATGCATGCTTTCTGGGGAGAAATTTTGTGATGATTACATGTCATAGAAACTTTTCTGTTAATATGAAAATCTGAGAGATAAATTTCTAAATTTGACCATAGGAGTCAAAAAATAGGGGAGGATGCTATATGAAGGTGTGTTTCTGGCATAGTATATAAGAGGCAGTAATTTTGTTGGGTGTATACAACTTTGGCAGGCAGCAAAAACAGATTACGCTGCTTCATTGATCTACGAATGCACCAAAATGGTAATCTCCACATGTGTCAGCTTGTTGCAGAATCTTGACTTCACTAAATAATCTCTCTCATCATCTCTTCTGGCCAGAAGGCCTTATCTCATATCTTGAAATCAATGTTTATGTGGCATTGTCTTATTAGGGTCTGTGACCATACCCCAAATTACTCTTAAGCTACCATGAGATTTCCTAAGAGTTGCATGTCTCTCTTCATTTTGACATCTCAGGGTCTCTCTTTCATTTGTGCTCAGCTCTATATTATTATTAATTTTCAACTTATCAGCATGTAAAAATTTGTTTAGGGGTGGGACCTGGATATTAGATGGGAGGCAGAGATGGTTATCCATATAAGTTCAGTCTGCTTTGTAATGTAAACCAAAAATAAATCAGCCTGAAAACTTCAAACTTTCTTTTCTTCATGGTAAACTCATAATAATAGTACCAGTTTCACAGATGTCTGAAAGCATAAAATTACTTCTTGCATGTGAGAGTGCTTGGAATATTGTAATATCCTATCCTAATATAAGAAGGTATTAATATTATCATTTACAGTCAAAGTAAATTAACTCCTACTTCTCAAAAAGGCCCAGAGGAAATAAGAGTTTTATCAGAAACAAATTTATTTTTTCCCAATATGTGGGGAAATTGAGTTGTTAATACAGGCTAATCCGAGAAATACAGGGGTCTACATTGACAGGGGAGTGATTTATAATAAAGTATGTTGATACTATTAGAAAGATGACAAATTTCTAAGAAGGACATTTTCTACTTCAGAATGACCTCAGAGTATATTTTATTGAATAAATATATTCAGCAAACTATCATTATTGAAATCATGCTAATTCAAGGGAAAAAAGTAAGACTTATCTCCGAACTTCAGTGTTCAAATGTATCATAAAACACATTAACCTCTAAAAACTGAGTGTGAGTTAAACTGGTTATCAAAATGGAAATTTCAAGTTCAGCAGTTACATTTGAAAACTGATATACATTTGTGTGAGGAATGAGTATAAGTTAGAATAAAAAGGAGAGTCAAATTAGATCAATGATAAGCAGAACCACATGTATGAACTGTGATCTCTCTCTTTTTTTTTTTTTTTTTGTAGGAGTCACAACTGAAAGCAATGAAACAGACTGTACAACTCTGCCTGTCAACAGTTTTCCGGGATCAATCACCCCCTTTGAGTCTAATCAGGTCAAACCCAACTCAGATGTCAATTCCACCCAGTACAATGGATATCAAGACGCTAGATACAAGGACAAAAAGCGAGGTACACTTTATTCATGCTTTGAAAAGTAAAATCAAACAGTGTACTGTCTTTATAGTTAATTATCTCTATGTAATTATCATTGTGGATTCAAGTAAAATATAAAAGTGATTCAAAGATTAGGAAGTAAATGGAAGGTAGTAACCCAATTTGTAAAGTCTCCATAATCACATGGAAAATGTTCTTTAGTAGACAGAGAGCCAACTTATTGTTAAGCAGGATGATCTAATTATAAAATAATAATCATTACTATAACAATTATTTTTCTAAAATAACATTCTAAAGTTATCCTAAAATAACAATAATAATTATTATTTTACATTTAATTAAAAGAAAATATCTTGTATTATATTCCAATATGCACTGGAAGCTTAATATGGGAAATATTTTCTCCTAGGGCATAACTATCAACCTTACAAAAATAGATACATTTAAAACAATGAAGCCCATATTTCTTAGCACTGCTTGAACATTAGACTCACTTAGGATACTTGTTAAAAAATCATGACATTGGGACTCAACCTAGACCTATTAAATCAAATTCTTTGTGGTTGGGCTCCAGGCATTAGTATTTTTTAAAAGCTTCCCAAGAGATTTTTAAGACCAACTGACAAGCAAATCATTCTCCAAGACTCCACCCTACTACTGCAGACAGGGCACAGGGTGTTTCTGCTTTTGTTCCAATTGTCTTAACTTGCAGTTTGCAGGCTGTACATTTATATACATCCTGACAATCTGAAATAGTTATTGGAGAAAAGAGTTTTGTTTCAAACAGTATATATTTATTTGAAAGTGCTGTCTTTCTTATCGCTTGCCTCGGGATCTCTCCCTACTAAAATGAATATCATAGATACCAGATCCACTTATAATGCAAATCTCTCAGGGTAGGTCCAGGAACACCTCAGAACCAGTTTTGCAGTTACTCAATGGTGCATACAACTGGGGCTTATTTCTTGATGCTTATTTCTTGATTCCCTAACTATGAATTAAAGCTTGTAGATTAGGGAAGATTAAAATTAGGGAAATACTATTTTCAGGGTAGAGACTCAAAAATAATGAAACAAAATAAATATCCTAATGTACAGTTTTTGTCTCTAGCTTTTTCTACTTAAGGGCTGCATAATTTAGTCTGTATAATCTCAAATTTCTCTATCATAATCACTTAAAATACAAATTTCTATCTCATCCTATTTTATTTGTTTTTATTATGTACTGGATTGTCTCAAAATATTTACAATTTTATGTTTCTCCTTTATTATTTTCTGCCCCTTCTTTGAAGATTCTAGGTCTAAAGTGTTTACTTACTTAACCAAATTCAGGGGAAAACTGCATAATAATGTATTTTTTAAAATCCTGGGTAAATTTATTGAGTCTGGTCACAGGTTAACTACACAGTCACCCACATGATCTCACTTACCAGCTAGGAAACCATTACTGCCTCCAGTTAGTCTAAGAGAGGAGCAAAGGTTCAGTCTTAAGTCTGATGACTCTAAGCAAAGCTGCTTTGTAATTTTAATAGGCACATCACCCTTGCCTCCAACTCAAATATGTTTATTTAAGCCCATTTTTTAAAACTGGGCTCTTGATAACCCTGAATGTGTGAAGGAAATTCCTGATTGTTACTTTAGCTGATTTACCATCAATAAATGTATACCCTGTCATTGACATAAATAAAAAAATATTATTTCTCTTGGATTATTACAGGAAAAGATAGGGAGCATTTAGATGACCCTTGTTTGGTAATTATTTTTCAAAAAATAATAACAGAAAAATCCAGTCGTTTAAGATAAAGTTCAAGACATCTAAATTGATACACTGTTGAGCATTCCATTTTACAGATTAGCATTAAAAGCTTCTCTGGTGTTTATGTTTGCCCATATTCTCTATCTTTTCAATAGTGGTGGAAATTATATATTTTCTATATACTTTTGGCTTATTTCTATGTATCCCTATTACCTCTTAGATAATTTTGAAATCCTGAATAATATAATGTAATATGAGGTATGTATAAAAGAAACAGACTCTTTAGTCATGGAATATTTTTTCTATATACAAAAATAGTAACATTTACAATAGGTTATTTAACTGGCATGTCTTCAGCATTGGCTAATTATGGATACAGTAGAATGTTGTGCTTGTCTGAGAGTTATGAGGAAATCATATCGCTTAACCTCTTTGTGCCTCCGTTTCCCTGTGACATAAACATTAAAAAATAATTCTTATTTTCCATGATGACTGGCTGGTCTTACTTGTTTTTATTTGTTTTTTTTAATCTTCATTTTTTTCTTTGAAGAAAGAAGGCCATTTGGTTATTCCTGACATCTGTGACACATGTCCAAGTAATCAAATTTCAACCCACTTCTGGAAGAAGACAAAATAGTGTCCCCCAAAATGTCATTTTATTTTTATTTTTTTTTCTTTCAGAAGGCTGGGTAATGTAGTCAAATTTTTATTGCATCATGCATGTGTGCACATGCATGTATACATATATACATATGTACATACACATAGACACACATATTTTATATAACATTCACTGTGGATTTTTAAAGCCACAGACTTCATCAGATGGGGAGTTCATTATTATGACAACATACTGGTGAAAACTTAAAAAATAATGGAAATATTAATAGCCTCTAGTTTAAAAAAAATTCTCAAGCATACCTGTTACATATCCATTTATTCTTATAGGTTGAGTTGATGCTGAGGACTCTCATTGCATTCTGTCAGCCTCCTTCCTATCATTGTATTATCTGTAGTTATGCATAAGTCTCTCTGATTCAAGTAAATATTTTCTTAACCTCCCCCAGTCAGAATTAGTTTTTCAATTCTTAGTGCTCTGAGCACAGTATTTCTCATGGCTCTTGGCCATCCATACCTTGAATAGAGTAATGGCTACAAACTCCCTACTTAAGGGAGATGACTGTACTTAGCTCATTGATTTTCTTTACATTAGTGTTCAGAGTAATGTTTCTAGAGGAGTCATTTGCAATGATGCTTATATTTCTGTTTTAGTCAACTTGGGCTACTCTAACAAATACCGTAGACGAAGATACTTAACACTCATTTCTTATAGTTCTGGAGGTTGCAAAGCCTGACCAAGACCCCAGTGCTGACAGATTCAGTGTTTGATGAGGTCAGTCTTCCTGAAGTGTAGACAGCAAGCTGCTTTCTCACTGTGTTTACATGGTCTTCTCTATGTGCATATGCACAGAGATCCCTCTGGTCCTTCTATAAGGACAGTTTTTCTTCTTTATAAGGATACTAATCCTACTATGAAAGCTCCATTATCATGACTTAACCTAAATCTAATTACTTCCAGAAGGTTCTACTTCCTAATAACTATCACATTGGGTAAACCCATAGGACTCCAGGTTATGCATATTGGAAGACACAAACATTCAATTCTCAGCAACGTCCCTTATCTTACTGACTATTTTCCTTATTTAGAATTTATAAAAAAATCTTATTGTTGAGTGTTCATTAAATACTTATAATTCAACTAAATTGTTTTCCATCTGTATTCCAGATCTGTGCTCATCACTGGGATGCAAATTTAAAATGACACAACCCTGACTTTTCGGAAATTGCTAGCTAATTCTTGGTAAAGAGAGAACTAGAAAAAAAATGCAAAGGGTGTGTAGTAGATGAGGACATTTAAAAAATTTTTGTAGTTGGAATTTTGTATTCCAGGTAGCTTTGTTTGAACATAGATTAAGGAGACAGTTGGATCCAAATGCAGACAGGATGAAATCTGTCTTATGTCTTTGTTAGGACATTACGTAATTATTATATACAAAATACTGCCCCCAGAGAGGGAAAAAAAGCAAAGGCATGAGCCAGGAGATCTGGTTTGCTTTTTGCATAAAATAACTAACTGGGGTAGAAACAAGCAAACCAGTGACAAATGATTTTGGTGATCCATGGCAGAGATAAGTAAAGGAGACTTGATTCATGATATAAAAAAGGGAATGGGGATCCGGATGCAATTGTGGTACAGAACTGCAAAGACCTAGTGATGAAATAGGAGGAATAAAGGGAGGAAATAAACAAAACATTCAGTGCTTGCATTCATTCACTGTGATGGGAAAGGCAAGAGAAGCTTTTAAGGGAGCCCCCACATTGGTTTGTTTCTCAGCATATTAATTGTCAGCCACATTCCATTAAATTATGTTTATTTCCAGTAGATATGGAGGATAAATTTAATGTCAGTGATCATAATAGTAAATGCCATAAAAAAAGGAGAAAATCAAATGTCAGCAGAAATGACAAACAATTCAGATAAGCAGTGAAGATAAAAAAGGCTGGAACTGTGCTATGAAAACCCGTTGTTTCATCTCCACGCCGGCAGTCACCCTTTTCTTTGTTTTTCTTTCCATGCCGCTCGTTGCCTTGGGTTTAGCTGCAGTTTATATTGATACGGTTCACAACTGTGGTATCTATTTAATTGGACAGGGATGATTTGTTAATTTTTTTCCAGTTTGTTAGAAATGCCAAAGCCATTCAAGGACAGCAGGCAACAGTGGCCCTATTTAGGAGTTAAAGGCATCCAAGCGAAAATGGCATTCTGCTTGGCGCCTGAGGTTTACAAAGCAAGGTGGATTTGTATTTCTTCTAGGCAAAAATCTGTTACAAAGTAATTCCCAAGAATTCTCAGAATGGTGCACTTGGAATTATCCTAGACGAGAGAGTTTCATCTTCCTTTTCTTTTTTAACCATTGGGAGCTTCACTTACACCTGAGTGTCCACGCTCACAATTCTGATACATTACAGCAGAAGCAGAGGCTGGTTTTGGGGATTGATTATTCAAATCTCCCAGATTACTCTAATTTATAGCCAAGGCTAAGAACTCTTAAAATAGTCCCTCTAGAAAAGGGAAAGGAGCCTAAAAAATAAGCCTGCTTTCCCCCTTGCTTTTCTGCTTCTAGAAGAGAATTCTCAACTGGCCCAAAGGTGATCAATTATAGACAGATCTGTTTTTCTACCAGGTGTTTGTCATTAGC